ACGTATGCATTTTTCGAAATGAATAAAAAATAGCAAGAAAACCTGCTCACAAAAAGTAGAAAAACCCTCGTAAGTAAAAACTCGCATGCAAAAAGGCCAAACAAAAAGAGGATCAAGTGTTTATTAGCGTGGGCGGAAAATCCGCTTTTTAGAATATTGATTGATAATTAGGGATGTCCAAATAAGATCGGTCTTTCCAAAAACCAATTTCTTAAATTTGGTTACTGATCTTTTTCAGTCTTTTTTTAATTTAGGTGTAAATCGTTTTTTACTTTCAAACCGCATACCGAAAATTCGGTTTTTACATTCCCCAGCAATGGATAATTGTCGGTAACTTGGTAGTGTAACCGCATCCTAAATTCATGTCATAGAGCCACCATATGGCAACTTGAGTTTTTCGTCGATTTTGGTGTAAAAAGAAGAAAAGATGGCGGGCAGCGAACATACAAGTTTTTAGTATTTCGTCAGTTTTCTCGTCTTTTAGTATCGTAGGCAATTTTAAAGTTCAACTTTTGCCTTTATCTTACTTTGTATTTTGTACTATGTCAAACGTGTGACAATAAAATTTAATGTGACTTGTTGTCGCCAACAATTGCAATTCTTCGAGATAAGAATAAAATTTTACGGTGTACCATACACTTCAAATAAACTACTCAATATTTGTTTGCTGATCTAATAGCTAAGCATAATCGATTGTGATGCCGATTAAGAATATTGAAATTAACCCGTATTTTAATAAAAGGTTAACAAAAAATATTTACCATGAAAAGCATTGGAAATATTAAAAAAAACAATCACTGTACACTCAACTTTGAAGTTAATAATATATTACCATATACATATATACATTTACCTCAATGGTGTCATAGTTCAAAAATTAAAAATTTCGAGTTGAGTATGCAGAAATTACCGCTACTTCTATGTTGTGTGTAAAAATTGCATAGCTGTATCGATTATGGTCCAGTATCTCACTATGTAGAACCAAATATGCATTCATTTTAATTATCCGTGTATATGTATGTATGAAATTCAAAACTTTAAGGCCGTTTTGCTGTTTTGAATTATGACACTATTGAAGTAAATGAGTCATATGTATTTGTCTATAAATTAAAAAAGTATTTTATGAGAAATGAAGTTTGTTTTTGTGTAAATATGTCCAACGTTTTATTACATTTCCTATATATGGAAGTGAAGTTTTTTTATACTAAAGTTTTTCGAAAGGTTTGTGTAGCCCCCTCGTTCAAATTTAAATAGCTCGATAACCGCCGACTGTTCCTGAGCGGTTCAGTTCTGCAGCTCTTATTATCTTCTCCAACATCAGATTAAAAAAGTCACATGAAAGGGAGTCGCCCTGTCTGAAACCCCGTTTTGTGGCGAACGGCTCGGAGAGGTCTTTCCCAATTCTGACGGAGCTGGTGGTATTGCTCAACGTCATTTTACACAGCCGTATGAGTTTTGAGGGGATGCTATATTCAGACATAGCGGCGTGTAGGCAACTCCGTTTAGTGCTGTCAAAAGCGGCTTTAAAGTCGACAAATAGGTGGTGAGTGTCGATCCTTTTCTCGCGGGTCTTTTCCAAGATTTGGCGTATTGTGAATACCTGGTCTATGGTGGATTTGCCAGGTCTAAAGCCACACTGATAAGGCCCAATCAGTTCATTGACGGTGGGCTTCAGTCTTTCACACAATACGCTCGATAAGACCTTGTAACCTATGCTTAGAAGGCTGATCCCGCGGTAGTTGGCGCGAATGGCGGGGTCACCTTTCTTGTGGATTGAGCAGAGCACACTTAAATTCCAATCGTCGGGCCTGCGTTCATCTGACCATATTCTGCACAAGAGTTGACGCATGCGCCTTATCAACTCCTCGCCGCCGTACTTGAATAGCTTGNTCGTCGGGCATGCGTTCATCTGACCATATTCTGCACAAGAGTTGATGCATGCACCTTATCAACTCCTCGCCGCCGTACTTGAATAGCTCAGCTGGCAGGCTGTCAGCTCCAGCGGCTTTGTTGTTTTTCAGCCGCGTTATTGCTATACGTGCCTCGTCATAGTCAGGCGGTGGAACGTCGACTCCGTTATCATCGACAGCGGGCTCGGGTTCTTCTTCTTCGCAACTTTCCGTGCTGCTATCATTTAGTACGGCAGAAAAGTGTTCTCTCCATAATTTAAGTAGGCTCTGGACATGGGTTACTAGGTCGCCATTGTTGTTCTTACAGGAGTACGCCCTGGTCTTGAAACCTTCCGTAAGTCGCCTAACTCTCTGGTAAAATTTTCGGGCATTCCTCCTGTCGGCCAGCATTTCAAGCTCTTCGCACTCACGTATTTCTGCCTCTCTCTTCTTGTTGCGGCAAATACGTCTCGCTTCCCTCTTCAGATCCCTATAGCGGTCCCACATAGCGCGCGTTGCGCCCGATCGCAGCGTGGCCCTGTAGGCGGCATCTTTTTTCTCTGCAGCTTCCTGACACTCCTCATCGTACCAGTTGTTCTTTCGGGCTCGCTGAAATCCGACTACTTCTTCGGCGGCGGTACTTAATGAGCGGGAAATGTGGTTCCACTGCTCGCATATGTCGGTTTGTTGAATAGTGCTCTCTGAGAGCAGGTGTGAGAGTCGATTAGCGAAAGCACTGGCTGTCTGTTACGATTGCAGCTCTTCGACCTTAAGCTTTCCTTGCATATTTGGGTACACATTTTTCGCTGCACAGAGGCGGGCGCGTATCTTGGCTGCAACAAGATAGTGGTCCGAGTCGATGTTTGGGCCTCGGAGTGTGCGTACGTCTAAAACACTGGAAGCGTGCCTTCCGTCTATCACAACATGATCGATTTGGTTTCTCGTTTTTCGATCCGGAGGCAGCCAGGTAGCTTGATGGATCTTTTTGTGCTTGAACCTAGTACGCATACTACCATGCTGCGGGCCCGGCGAAGTCGAAGAACGTTTCATCGTGGAGGCTGAATTTTCCGATGATGGTTCCAAAGATCCCTTCCTTGCCCACTCTGGCATTGAAGTCGGNTCCGTTGTCGGACGTTTCGTCGTGGAGGCTGAATTTTCCGACGGTGGTTCCAAAGATCCCTTCTTTGCCCACCCTGGCATTGAAGTCGCCAAGCACGATTTTGATATCATGACGGGGGCAGCGCTCGTACGTGCGCTCCAAGCGCTCATAGAACAGATCCTTGGATGCCTCATCCTTATTTTCCGTCGGGGCATGGGCGCAGATGAGCGAGATTTTGAATAATCTCGCTTTGATGCGGATTGTGGTTAGACGCTCGCCCACCGGGGTGAACGACAGTACTCGGCGACGGAGTCTCTCTCCCACCACAAATCCAACTCCGAATTTGCGCTCCTTTACATGGCAGCTGTAGTAGACGTCGCAAGGCCCCAGACATTGCTTGCCTTGCATTTCTTGGATGGCGGTGATGTGAGCTTTTGTTCTTACGAGGACATCAACCAGCCGGGCAGAGGCACCTTCCCCATTAAGGGTCCGGACGTTCCAGGTGCATGCCCTCAAATCGTAGTCCTTTAAACGTTTGCCGTGGTCGTCATCATAAGGGGGGTCTCATCCGAGGCTTTGCCTTGCTTCTTCACTGGAAATGGTTTTTACGTGGCGGGTTCCAAACCCAGCGCACAACCCATTGCTGGTGGTGGTTTCGCAACCAAATATACGTTTACGTTTATGCCGTTTGCTCCAAGCAGACACCCCCATGCAGCCGCACCTGCTGGTAAATAAACAGACGCTGCCACCAGCGTATTTTCTAGATTACGATTACATTAATTGTAATCATAATATCTTTAGGCTTACAACTAATGTACATATTCGTAATCGTAATTTTCAGGATTAAAATTACTGTAATTGTAGTATTTGTAATCTTAAAAATACATATTAGGATTATAATTACGGTATTCGTAATCATGTTTTTTATGATAACGATTACAGTAATCTTAGTCCGTAAATTTTTAATATTACAATTATTATAATCATAATGTTAATGGTTTGACGATTTGGATACATGCAACTGCTTATTAATTTGTAAAAAAAAAAACGCGCCGCATGCGAAAATTTGGAATAAAAAATCGCGTAATTTTGCATTCCAAATATTTACTATAGATTAGAATATAGAAATTGAATTGAAAAGCTGAAAATTGCATGCATTTTCCCGAACTCTGTACGAAATTACAATAAAGTTATTCTTGTGGTATTTGCAATTGTATAAACTATATGTATTTTTATAAAAATAAGAACGATTTGGTATAGAAAATACCAAATAATAAAATCGTCAAAACGTCAGGGTATACTTATTTTTGATGCTCACTGTACGTAAATGCATACAATCACACATACATATACACGTGGGAAAAACTATTAAAATCATTAATCAATGTGTACATATGTATGTGTGCTTCCTAAAAATAAGCACCCTCATTCATAAATATATTCTTATCAGTTGGATGTTAATAAGTATGTGGCTAAACGCAACGTTTATTATCAATAAGTACATATACATACATGAAATACAAAACTATTAAATAAATCAAAAATAATTCCCACAGCAATTATCCCTTAACAAACATTCGCGGGTAACTAATTCATACAGTTCGTATGTCTCTTTTTACATTTTTAAATTATTGCCGAGCTCTTTTAAGCTTTTAAGCTTTAGGATGTTCCGACGCAATATTAACCCTTGTGTCCACTACTTCCTTAATGGCAGCCTCTTCTACCTGAAAACTCATACAGAAGTCTGGATGTCTAAGCTCGATGTTGATGGAGAGCTCAAAGCAGAAGATTTCGCCGGCAATCCTTCCATCAAGTATCGACCCATCTATGAAAAAGACCACAGCTGCCTGCTTCAATCCACTGCCCCACCGGATGATCCTTTTAGTATTTGATGTGGATTTGCAATCTACAATTTTATGTTAAATAATAAAGCAATAGCAGCAAGTTATATATATGCACATATGTTTGTATATTTTAACTTGCTTTTGTATGTGTGCCTATCCTTTAATGTTTAATTTTCTACCTAAATGTCTAATTTCAGTTTATCTGCGCAAGCTCCAGCGGCCGTCAAATCGCATAACTTTCATCCTGCTCATCTGCACTTTATCGGCAGGACTCCATTAGTCTATCGGAGTATTGGCCAGGAGCTGGAACGTGCCGCTGCTGAATATGGCAATACGGAATCCATTGTTTCATGTCACGAAAAGAAGCGATATACTTATCGCGGGCTCCTCGAGGAAGCCGATCGTGTTGCTGCCGGCTTGCTGAAGCTTGGCTTGAAACAAGGCGACCATGTGGGTATTTGGACGCCAAATAACGCACACTGGTATCTGACGATGTTGGGTATAGCACGCGCCGGATTGGTGTCGGTAGGTGAAGAACTCACTAGAGTCTATAAATCCACTGAAATATTTTCAACTTTTAATTATGTACTCAGGTCGGCATAAACCCAGCATTTCAAGGTCCGGAAGTCGACTACTGCTTAAAAAAGGTTAAAGTGAAAGCGGTGATAATGCCTGAAACATTTAAAACTCAAAATTTCTATGAGATTATGAAAAGTATTTGCCCAGAGTTGCCAGACAGTGTTGATGGAAGCATCAATAGCGCCAGCTTGCCTCACCTAAAGCGTGTCATCGTCGACACAGGTAGCACTTTGAAAGGCGCGCTAAGTTATGACGAATTACTCAACCTGAGTAGTCTAGCCGAGCGCGAGGTTATCACAAAGCTACAACGCCATATCGTACCTGATAGCGGGTGCAACATCCAGTTTACCTCTGGCACAACTGGTCAGCCAAAGGCAGCAGTAGTTTCGCATTACAACTTCGTTAACAACGGCATACACATAGGTAATCGTAATGAACTGGACAGCACATCACGCATCTGCGTACAGGTTCCACTTTTCCATGCGTACGGTGTGGTCATCACAATAATGGCCGCTATGACTCATGGCAGCACTTTGGTTCTACCAGCAGCCGGTTTTAGTCCGGCCGACTCGTTACGCGCCATTGTTGACGAAAAATGCACAGTTATCCATGGCACACCCACAATGTATGTGGATCTCATCAAGAAGCAGAGAGAGTTGCAGTTGCCATTGAAGACCGCAAAAATGGCTGTTACCGGCGGAGCTCCATGCTCGCCACAACTCTTCCTCGACATTAAGAATGTGCTTGGTTTGGAGCACGTGCGTACCGTTTTCGGCATGACTGAAAGCACAGCAGTGATTTTTCAATCGCGTCCTGGTGATAGTATGGAGCAAATTTTAAATACCGTAGGCCATTTGCAGGATCATGTTGAAGCCAAGGTGATCGATGCTGAAGGTAAAACCGTGTCCTTCGGCGAGCGTGGAGAACTTTGCGTGCGTGGCTATGCTACAATGCTGGGCTACTATGATGATGAGACGAAAACGAAAGAGACCATCGGACGTGACAAATGGCTGAGAACTGGGTAAGTGGTTCATGGTTGCGGTAAAAAAAATCGGCTTTATTTTCAAAAATTCTCTTGCAGCGATCAATTTATTCTGCAAGAGGATGGTTACGGTCGCATTGTGGGACGCCTGAAAGAGATGATCATACGTGGAGGAGAAAATTTATTTCCGAAAGAAATTGAGGATTTTCTAAACACACATCCGCAAATTTGTGAAACTCATGTATGTGGCTATGCCCAGTTGTTTGTATATGTAAATTTGTTTTCATTTTCCTTGACTCAATATCAATCCATTTCCAGGTGATTGGTGTTCCATGTGAACGTTTCGGTGAGGAACTGTGCGCCTTTGTACGATTGGACGATAGCTCTGCGAAGGTATCACGTGAGGACATTAAGGCGTTCGCTAAAGGAAAGTTGGCACACTTTAAGATACCACGTTATGTGATACAAATTAAGAATTTTCCGAAAACTACATCGGGTAAAATACAGAAATTCAAGCTCGCCGAATTGTACGAAAAGGAGTACAGAACAAAATTAGTATCGAAGATATGAATTAAAAACTGGCTGCAGCGAAAAATGCATGCATTTATTAGTTGTTATGAGTGTAGAATTTTATATTGCTCATGCATAAGCATGTAAAATTTTTTTTTTTTGATAAATTTTATTATTAATGTGAAAAAAATATTAAAGGAAAATATTTTATTTGTATTTATGAGCACTTTGCTTCGTGCCTGCGAAAGGGATTGGGGAATCGTTAGAAGCGGTATTGGGCTATATCAGCCTGGTCGCCTTTCAAAGTACCTGGAGCAGATGGAATCTTCCCAATTCATCTCCAAAGGGTCCTTGCCATCTTTTCCCCGTTTTAATACCATTTTTCTGGTCAGAGTATGTTTGGGGACCCCTACGGCAAGAAGTGACTGACCAACCTGTCGACAATACCGATCATACCGATCCAAAAGCGTTCCGCCTTTCCTGCTGAAATAATCATAAACAAGTATACCAGAGTTAGTTTTCTTCTGAGAACATCTGGGATAAACGTCGATGTGCCTATCTTTCTACCGCCCACTTTTCTCCACAAGGAAAATTTAAAAGTCCTTTGGAGGAACAAAGAGGTAGCCGTAGGTTGCTGCCTGAACGTAGATAGGCTTTCTATAGCACGCATTACTCTCTTATAGGCAACTTCGTTTGGTGAATAGGGAGAACATGAAGCCAAGAAATGTGTACCACAGGGTGGATGGTTTGTTATCGCAAACAGAGGCGACATCCCAAAAAATGCGCTGAACAGAGTCACCAATTAGTGTAGAAAAAATGGGCTAAACTCTAAGAAGTTTAGTGAAAGAAAGCAGCAAAGTTTAGGTCCGCGCTGGCTAAGCTCAGTACACTCAAAGGACTAATCAACGTGGGAATCAGTGAATCGATATCAACAACATCAACTGCGAGTCACAAGGCGCCTCTAGATCTGGCTCCTATGACATTATAGTCAAGAATGAGACTCTACTGCTCATCTTGCGGAGAATGTTGAGAATAAGATTTTTGTATACCTATATATCTACTCTGAGAGAAGGACTGCTCATTAGCTTTCGGTGCATCTGCGCTTCATGGTTTTCAAAAATTCCGGAGAATACTGACGTTTTCAAGACTGACCATGGCGTCGTAGCAAGGGTATATGTATACCAAACAGACGGCTACTCTTCACAAGCATCTTGCCTTATGCCCTAACTACGTCTCTCAAGCTGAGGTGCATGTCATTAAACCATGCCTTTATTTGAGTATTTCGGTATTGCGGTAACGTGCTAAATTAAAAACAAAACGCATATGAAAGAGCACCAAACCAACTCGTTTTAAATTTGAGTATGTACGTTATAAAATAAGTGGTTGTGAAGTGCACAGATGATTTTTCGTAATTAAGAAGAAAAAAAATTGATTTTATGCTCCCGTCTGATGGTAATACATGTACATGCTTTCTATACATATACTTTCTTAATTACATATGAAAAAGCATCCGAGACGTGCAAAACGCCGTCCGTGCAGTGAAAACTGCTTCATTTTAATACGGGCGTATTTGAATTGAATATAATATTATAAAAAACTAAAAACTCGCTTTTATTGCAATGTGAACTAAAAAGTAAAAAAATAATTTATATAAATGCAGATTTCGTTTAAAAGGAGTAGGAAGCTCCCTAAATTGATTTAATTAAAGTTGAAAAACCAACCTAAAACAGGATTAAAGTAATTGAAAATAAAATTAATCTTACCGGAAAACAAAGAATAGGTGCTCTTTAGATTTTATAGTCCTGCTATTGACAATATTCAATATTACTAAACTGAAAATTAAAAGTTCAATACAATTGATATCAAGCGCCCACGTTTTGTTTTCCGGTAAAACTAATTTGAATGTCAATCACGTTAATTCTATTTTAGGTTGATCTTAAAAGTTTAATTAAATAATAATCTGTATTTCTATATATTATTTTTTACTCTTTAGTTCACTCTGTAATAAAAGCAAGTTTTTATTTTTGTAAACTATACATTTTTTTGCATCTTATTTTGATTTTCAAAATCATTCAGCCTTATCATGAGTTTCATTTTCCCCGAACCGGTTCACTTTTCACTTTGGTTTCCATGGTTTTAAATACTATGGGCGGATGACAAATTTTCGGCTGCGATCTCAGCGAAGCATCATTTTTCCGCCAGGTTTTCGAAGTAACTGTCGGAGACCACTCAATAAACCTAAATACATATATGAATGTTTATAATTAAAAAAAAGTTATAATACCCTTGTGCACAAGTGCGCTCGGGTATAATAATTGAGTCACTATTTTGAAAGCACTCGCCATGGCGCTCACCAAAAAATGCAACAATTAACATCAGTTTCATAGCCAGGTGACAAGTATTTACAGTGTTAGCTTTGCATCAAAACTAAAACTAAATATTTATGCATACTCTCTCTGCTTAGGTTCCAGTTTAGATATGAATATGTGAGAAGTATAGACGTAAAGTGATCTTATCAATATCAGGGAATTATGTTAAGTTCATAATTATGCTTAGTCACATTCGTGTTTAAAAGTTTCAAAAAGCTCGGAATTTGTTATTATTGAGGCAGAAATTACTTATTATGTAAGAAACGACTAGCGTGCCTTATTGAACTCAGCCAAAATCGCTTAGGCGGTTACAACGCCAAAGAAAAAACAAAAGCGTTGTAAGAAGAAATAACCCTCCAGTACTGCTGGAGTCAATCGCCACTTTTGAACCGCTACTGCACCAACTCCTAGGTAAGTAGCTACTCTATTAACCATGGTAGTGCAGAGTCGAACTAGTCGTAAGTAGAATAGCGAAAAACTACGACAGAGGGCGCCCATAAATCACGCAAGTAACTACTTTAGTAACTCCCGGTAGTGCAGAGAGAGCCGATGGTGACTACCGCCTAGGAAATTGCCTTGTAAAAGTAGTCGATGAAATACACTGCAAGTAGTCGGTCGGTAATTGACGGTGTTTATCAGGTAGCTACCGATACAGCAGTCCTGTAGTCACTCCCCCGTACTGCAGGGTATGTATTTACACTAACACATATGTATGTATGTGCAAGTAATATATGTACATATGTACATACATATTTGAAAAAAATATAGCCAAAAAAGTCGATGAACCTACACTGGAAATTTTATACTTAAATAATTTTTATTTTGTTGGTTTCCATTTAAGTTAAGTTTGCACAAAATTCTGGTATTTCTTAACTCACATCGCCTATAGGCATAAGTGGACAGGAAGTAGTGATTGGAGGAGGTGAAATTGTACTCAGATGGGTCAAAGCTTGATCGAAGTGGGCGAATTAATAGGAATTCTCTTAGAGGATGATTCATCGGATATATACTCCATTTTTCCATCCAGTTATACTCCACGGACTCTTGTATGGTGGCCTACGCTCATGAAATTGACAGTGCTAAGGGATATATGTAAGGGATAAAAATAAGAGTGTCATCGTTTACAGTTGTGCGTTTTCTCCATGCCCTCAGATGTTTTAAATGCGATATTGCATCTACATATTTCCCACCATATTCAAAAGAGGCATAACTGAAAAATCAGAACCAAAAATATAATTGCTTGTGGATGGTACAGATTCAACTCAATTGTTACAAGAACATGCCTAATGCATAATTGGAGATAAATCCTGCGAATTGATTTATGCAAAAAAAATCTATCCAATTTGTAATTTTTTTTCGTTGTGCCTCTTTTAAAGGTATCTACTTCCTATTGATCTAAATGCTTTCTCATGGACCTACCGAAACTAAGGTAGGCCCCTCAGTGGCTTGCTCAAAGACTTATATTTTCTTATCCGACAGTCAGGTAGCCATAGGAGCTTTAGACTCACACATATGTATACACTTCCGAGTTCATTACTAGCTGCTGCCGGTCATAGAACAAGACACCCTAGTGTTATAGATTCAACTCTTATGGGTGTCTAAACACCGAGATGAATAGGATTGGTTGGGAAAATAAATACACTACCATCCAAGTTCTTCTTAAAAAGGGCAGATAAGGTGTACCAATGGCCATTTTTTAGATACAAATTTTTTGTTAGAGATCATACCACTCTTGTAGCCAAGGAACGATAGAACAACCTTCCGCCCTGTGAAATCATCAAGGTTACCTGACCTTCCGACAACAAGGAAGGCACATCGTTGCTGCAAAGTTTAAACAAAAAATATATGTCCTTCCTTGTACGCACTTTTACGGCCATTGCATAATTGATACACCATCAAACTAACTAGAGATGTATTCACCGGCCCAAAGTTAACACATTTGGAATAGTTATTAAGGATTTTGATTAGAGTTTCCACCTGTTTAAAAAGTTAAATTCAATTTTGTCGTCTTAACGCCATGCGGGTTCACTAGTTTTTATAAATGTATGGTAATAACCAGGGCCGAAAAGTTTATGCCTTTGCTTGAAATTGCTGATTTCACTTAATCGGGGTTTCCAAGCTTAATTTTAACAATCATGCTTGTTTTGCTTATTTCAATGTATAAAGCTAAGTACAGACCTTTTAGGCAAATGGTCAAGCAATAAATTGCTATTATTTCGTGCGTGTGAATAGTAGTGTTCAAGGAGATTTGACATCTGTTATTCTACAGCCCGCCGTCTCACTTTTTCCTTACGAAATAATGGAACGGACATATATTTCCGTTGAAAACCAGGTTGCCTTTTACTATTTACAAACAAAATTTAGCAAGCCATAGTAGAAAGCGTAGACAATTTCTTAAGAACTTCGTACTGCTTAAGAAAATTTGGCTCAATAAATTTTTCTTGACCATTTCTTGGGCTTTTCTTTTATTCGTCGAATTAAAGAAATGTTTATAAATACTAACATAAAACAGATTTGGTTTTTATTAACCCGTAACATCAATTGCACATCTGGTTGGATACAAAAATTTAAAACCAATGGTTCGTCTCCACCGGAAAGCAATGGTGTTGTTGAACAGATTTACATAATTTATCCCAAATGGAGAATAACGAATATTTAAGAAAATTTAAACGACCAACGCAGATCGGCGGCACCCTGAAATTATGCATACGAAATATTTAATGTATATGCCTATACCTGTACTGCCTATTTAGATGCGGGTGGTCCGTCTGCTGGACCAGGTGGTGCTGCCTCCATTGGATCAGGCGGGGGAGCATCTGCTGGACCAGGAGGTGGAGCATTTGCTGCACCGGACAGAGGAGCGTCCATTAAGGAAGGCGGTGGAGCGTTTGGTGCATCAGATGGTAGAGCGTTCGTTGGACCAGGTGGTGCCGCCTCCATTGGATCAGGCGGGGGAGCATCTGCTGGACCAGGAGGTGGGGCATTTGCTGCACCGGACAGAGGAGCGTCCATTAAGGAAGGCGGTGGAGCGTTTGGTGCATCAGATGGTAGAGCGTTCGTTGGACCAGGTGCTGCTGCCTCCATTGGATCAGGCGGGGGAGCATCTGCTTGACCAGGAGGTGGAGCATTTGCTGCACCGGACAGAGGAGCGTCCATTGGGGAAGGCGGTGGAGCGTTTGATAGAGGAGAGGTTCCACCATTGCTCTCCGTTGTGGGACTTCCTCCAGATCCTTGTGCAGGATTCTCTGTAGACATTTCTCCAGGCTGTAGCACAGAACTTGCAGGACCTATTACTGCATAATTTGGAGGCGTAGTTGTAATTGGTGCAAATAGTGCAATATTGCTTAGTGCAGATAACTTTTGGTTAAGTATGTTGGTCAACAGTTTTGTGAATATAAACGAGTCTGCAAATCCTAATGAAAATAACACCAAAGCTGTAGCTGAAATCAAAAATAAAGTACCATTAAGTAAAGTTTATTTTTTAATTTGTGTTGTTTTATTTTATAAGTATTACATATTTTTGTTAATACATACATATGTATGAACATTGTTAAATTAACGCTGCCCTGCAAAAATTGTCCTTACTCACCTAAAGCGCTTGGAAAAAACTTTTCGGCCATTCTTGAGAAATACTTGAGAAGTGTGTAGTCAATGCGACTCGATTACTATCTGGATCTCTATTAGCTTAGTGACACTTATATATTGCCTTAGTAAATACATATATAGCTACTGAATTTATCTCGGCGAATTAGCGAAATTTAAATGCTGTTGTATCTTTACTTGTAAATATAAGTGTCTAAGTACATACAGTGACTGAAACAAATGACCACATCTTTTCTTTTTTTAATATTCGTAATATTTTTCGAGAACATTTTTTTGTTTTTTTCTATAAAAATGCTAGTGTTGGGTGTTAAATATACACATGTTGGTAACATTTCAATACTCAGTGTTGAAATCTCATAAGCTGGCAGTATTTTATTCAAATAAATTTATGAATCCCAAATTACGTCAAATGAGTTGCTAACTGGATGCAAGTGTTGTACTTGAAAATTAATGAAACTGCAAATTGAGTACAATCTTTTCTTTCGAGTTCTTTTGTGAATACTGAGTGCTTTGGACTACTCTGTATCGATACTTTTAAAAATCGGTTGCTGTCGATCCTTTTGAGAATCGAGTTCTGAATACTTTTGGTATCGATACTGCCCAACAATACCATCTAAGCTTTAACCAAAACCATGTAAATCGCAGTTTCAAACTTAATACCAAAATTTAGGAAAATTCAACACATTTTCATCAAAGTTTCAACTTTTTAATCTGAATATTTAGAACATTTTTTAATATGCAATTTTATAGCCCTTACAAGTTTGGTCTAATTAAGTGAAAGTTTCAACCGGCGTTGATTTTAAAGAATTTTTTTTTGAGACTGCTTTTGCGTTTTTTTTTTTGTATAAGTGCAATTTACAAAAACCTGCGTTGATTTTTTTTTTTACATTTGTTGCTAGTGGTCTCGCGCATTTATTGCTTAAGAAATTCATGCTTATATGAAAAAAAGTGCAAAAATCCATCACCAAAAAAATTCTCAAAAATCAACGGATTTTTTTGGCCGTATGAAACTTGCACTTTCTTAGACTAAACTTGTATGGGCTATAAAACTGCATACCCTAAAATATTCTAAAGATTCAGATTAAAAAGGTGAAAATTTGTTAAATTTTCCTAAATTTTGTATAAAGATTTAAACTGTGATTTAATTTTTTTGGTTAAAACTTAGACGGCATTTTTATAGAAAAAAAAATAAAAATTTAGCTGGAACAACTTTGCAAATATTAGAAAAACCAACATGTGGTGATTTGTTTTAGTCACTGTATGTATGTATATGTAAATATGAACATTCATATACATATGTACATATTTTTAGTTTATGGCTTGTCTATTATTGTTTGAATGTTCTTCAAAATTAGCTACTTATCATAAGCAAGCACGAACTGGGTTAAAATGTTGTTTTAAATTCGAACTATGTTTTACTGGATTGCTTAAAATGAATGTCTACTGATTTATGCTTATGCATGCAACTGGTTACATCTAAAATTAAATTATTGCCGGAATTTTATTATCCAAAATCCAAAAGTGATGCCAAAATTAAATTTTAGTACTTTAATTAGTTCACCCTGTGTCCGCTGCAGGATTGCGGATTTAGCAAGCCGCTAAGTCGTCGGTTCGAATCCCACTGCCAGGATGTTTTTTTGCATATATTTTTTTTTGTTCTTTTAAATACTAGTTTAATTTGTTTATGTAATTATAGTTGTTGTGACCTTTTGAATTAAAATTAAACTCCAAAAAACTTGATTACCTTCAAGTCATTGCACTGGATCATAAATTTTAGTTTTGTTTTTGTTCTCCAGACTCCACTGTCCAATTACTACGTCGAATCGCTCGGTGATTGCGAAAACGAAGTTAATTATTTTTTCTATGGATACGTTTTTTAGATATTTGCAATTTACCGTTATTCAGCTTAAAACAAAGAGTAGTTACACTTAATCCCGTATACGAATCCATTGAACAATTCGTTCCGATATAGATTGGGCTTTAAAGAGCAGAAATTTGTACTACCGTCAGGATTCGATTTTAAGTCAACACCTTAATCTCTATGTGTAAAACTAATAATAGATTGTTGCTTACACAATATGTTAGTGTTTGGCCGAGCTTCCCCTCCAATTAGTCGCGTGCGCTTTTACATTGTGCCACAAAGGGGGTCCCTACAGTTTTACGCCGACTCTGAACGGCGGTTACATTTTTATGAGAAGCTGTTTTTCATGGCAGAAGTCAGACTCAGAAGTTTGCGCAAGTCTAATCACTACACCACAGCGGTCTGCATACGAGACCAATATTCAGAGAAACTTTTTTGGATTTCGGTATCAATATTTGAGATATCGAGTCTTTTTATTCCGATATTGATAGATACCCGATATTTTTAGAGCGAAACTTTAAATGAGTATCATATTCATACTCTTGGTTCGATATCGAGTCCCTAGTTGTATTTCCTTTACTCAAAGTACTGGCACACGTTTTAATGAACCATACTGAATTTTTCGTTTTTGAAATGACCATTATCTATTCTGCATTGGTAATAAACATTTCATACATACATAAAATTTCTCTAATTTTTTAAACCCTTTCCACATTCTGTGCTCGCTAGTAACCGGTAAATTTTATTACCACCTCATGAGCTCGCAACAAGATACTACCGCATAAAATATGCAATACCAGTAATCCATAGCTGAATTGCTGAATAAATTTTGACAGCGTTACCACTGTGCCTAAAATTTTGGTTACATAAAGTGGTAAGATTTTTTGGTGCAATACATTTTCTTGGAGAAATATATACATATAGCATTTTTTTCTTCAGAGAGTTGTTTGATCATCAAAATGCGTGCGCTGTTTATTACTGTACCTGTAGTGTTTCTAATTCCATAATAAATAATTACTAACACCAAAACAAATTTAATTAATTTGAAACAATCCAGTTCATGTAATTATATTTATTTATATATTTTTTTAATTTTCCAGCATTTGCGCTCCATGCAATGATCCCAACGCAAAAATTATACTCATGCTTATCCGACATTCCATTCGCTTGAAAATACATACGCCCCAATGGCAATCGAAATTATCGTTTGCCAAAAGTGGGCTTACAAGATTTTACAATTTCCATGCTTCAAAAGTTTTATGATTTTAATTTTTGCAATTTAATCAACTTCGTATGCATACAATCAGCGATTACTTTTCCTTTTGTGGGCTTGTGTAACTCATTTTATTTTATTTTTTTTCAAATATTGAGTTTGCAAATTTTCAACTCGTTTTTTTTTCTTTAACTGTGACGCTTTCAGTTACTTACTTATATATTGAATATTTATTTTTTCACTGTTGCTTTTATTTATATTTTTTGCGTACATAAGTTACTTTTTTGTTTGTTTGTTTTTTTACTTTATGGGTACTTTGAAAACAAGGAGTTGAAGAGCATGTTAAACTATGCATTATGTATTTATTATTCATATTGGGGACTTCAGTTATCATATTTTTTTTTTAATAATTTGTAATAATTGCTAACACACATATTTTAAATTTTTTTTAACATACTTCATGCATTCAAGTAAGCCTACATACATAGTACAGACATAAGTATAGTTATAAAACAAATAAACAATTAATATTGGTTTCTTTTCTTCTTTTTTTTGTAACTGTAATGCACATTCTTGGATATATAATTAATCAAAGCAACTCAGCTTAACGCGACACAATTGACTGACTGACCGGCACGCTGACTGTCTCGACTGACTAACCAACTGACGATAGCTGACAAATCAATGAACTTAAAATTTAAGGTATTTAAATACTATACAATATATTCATTATAAGCTTAATATTTAGGTACACATTTTTTTACTAAAACTAAATAAATACGATAAACATGAAATAAATTAAAAATTATAAACTTTTTTAAAGCTAAAATATTCTTTTTCATTTGCTTTTTTTACTTGCTTTTCGTACGCCTTGAGCACACTTGGTCTTTGAAAATGTATGTATGTAGTGTTTTCACACAGTAAAACACATTGCATAAATACTTTCAATTATCCGTTGATGCTATACACATGCCTACATTTATTCATACATATGTATATTTATTAAGATCTCATTATTCAGGTTCCGTATTATTAATGGACTTTCATTGCGGGCGCTAAAGTTTCTAGTTGAGATTGAATTAGACGGGCCGATTCCATTTTAAATTTTGTAACTTGTTATTCAACGATTTTTGTGAAACTTGAATTACCACCCTCTCTTGAATTTAGAAAAATTGAGAAGTTACTAAAAGAAATTTAAAATATGGTTTCTAAGTTCCTACCCTCGCATTAACATTTATAAATTTTTTTTTTTTCAAGAAGACGATACTTACGCCTACTCGTTTAGTTCACTTATACATTTTTCTCTGAAAACTTAGGCGCCGAAGACTGGAAAGCACATATTTGGCAGATGCTTGACCAAAAGTTTTATATAAAACCCTAATATCAACTCAAAAGCACAATTTTCAAGCAAGAGCTTGCAAACAGTTGAAGGAAAATTAGCCTAAGCTTTATTAAATAGAAATTATGAAAAATTCTTCCTTCAATATTCAAGATAACGTTTTTAGGTTATTTAAGTGTCTTACATGATTTGCTTTATGAGCCGGACTACACTTGCCGCTACAGAGCCTTAGCACGACCATCTTCAAACTTAAAGAACACAAAGTTTTGAAAGCGCAAACCTGAGTGACAGTTTGGTCTATGCTGCCAGAACGGCTAAGATTTATTTATTTTCAAATACCCACAGCAGCATCCTCCTAGTACATACATATATATTTGAGGAATTCTTATGCCGCTTTTGCGACAAATTTGTCTCCTAAAATCTCAAAAAAGTATAATTTCGAAGCAGAGAAAATAATAGATTTCACAGAAAAATACCTTTAATATATCGAAGGCTTTCACGCAATCCCCTCTATCAGCAAATTTTTACAAAGTGTAGTTTCTGATTTAATAACAAATCTGAGACTTAGCTGCCATTGATGACCGTTAAGTCTTAGGCGTGCCTTTCTACCAGAATCTATATTGTTTTTTTAATTCTAGGTAAGGGCATTGCATACAAGCTGTCCATATCTAAACTTCTGGAAAACCAACTTCCACTTCAAGCTTTCGATCAAAAGTTTTCACATTTCCCTACTTGCTTATTTCCATAATATACACACAACTCCGATTTCCATTAAGTTTTTACTGAGCATTTCATAACAATGCGAAATTATGATTCTATTTTATTATTATTATTACTCTCTTTGTGGCACACGC